TTTGAATAAAAGATACCTATAAACTTTGTATAGTTATAGGTGTTAGTAAAGTATTTAAGTAAAAGACATTTTAGCGAATGTCGATTGTCCGTTGGCCAAGACACCTCAGCGGTGCGAGCGGCAGCGGCAGGGTTTATGTCAACAAACAAAGTTTATGTCTTGTACATACAACTTTATAATTTGTGTAGGTATGTCAAATCAAAATAGATACCCTATTTAAGGGTTACCAGGCTACATAAATAAAATATCCCCTGCTAATAACGGTTTTCAGATGTTTACTTTATTTGACATTTTTTCTGTTTGCTTTTTGCATGCGCAGTATGTCTGGTGATGGTGATAGAAAATCCTCAAAAGCTTGGCAGTTTTTTAAAGACCTCAAAAATGATAAAGCCAAATGCAATTTTTGTCAGAAAGAATTTTCATACAAAGGCGGTGGTGCTTACAACCTAATCAGACACACAAAAAGCAAGCATCCACAAGTGTTTGTCGCTATACGTGAATGTCCGATTGAAAATATAGCTTCTTCTGCAACAGAAATCCATAATTTGACAACACATTCCACTGATTCGAAGGCACCAGAACTTGAGATGCCTACTGCTTCCACATCTACTGCTTCAACTTATGTCATGCCTGAAACATCTGATTTCTTACCAGCCACCACTAAAAACACCAACCTATATAAAAAAGCTCCAGCCACTAACACGAAACTAACACAGTACTTTTATAAACCGCTTTCTGCTAAAAAAACTGAACATCTAAACAAAATGCTGGTAAAATTATTCACAAAAAATTACTTAGCCTTCCATCCCATTGAATCCCCTGAACTCAAAGATTTTATTAAAGAATTAAATCCAGCCTACCAGTTACCTAGTCGTAAGACGTTATCTAATGCATTGATGACTAATGTCTATAATCAAACAAAAGAAAAGGTTAAGTCAGAACTCTGTCAAGCAGAACATGTGTGCATTACAACCGATGGGTGGACATCAGCCCCCAATGATAATTACTTAGCCGTGACAATACATTTTTTCAATCAGCAAGCAGAATTAAAATCTTTTTTGTTGGAATGTATACAGTTTCCAGATAGACATACTTCAGAAAACCTAGCACTAGAACTAAAAAGAATTACAGATAATTGGGAAATTACTGACAAAATTGTAGCAGCAATCAGTGGTAACGCTTATAATATCAAAGCTGCTATAAGACTTAATAATTGGAAGCACATACCTTGTTTCGCTCATACTCTTAACCTTATAGTCCAATCTGCATTAAAAGAAATAAAAGATATTACTACAAAAATTAAACAAATTGTCGAATTATTTCGTAGAAGTCCACTTGCATCTGAAAGATTAAAAAATATGCAAAAGAAGCTAGATGAATCCCTATTGAAGATAAAACAAGACGTTTCCACACGCTGGAACTCCACGTATGATATGTTCGAAAGGGTGTTAAAAATTAAAAACAGTGTTATGTCCACAATTGCTATCGATTATCCCGATACTATAAATATGACTTCTGAAGACATTGAGGTTTTGGATTCGGCAATAGAAATTCTTTCATTTTTCAAAGATGTAACTGAGGAGATGAGTTCAGAAAAGAATGTTACAATATCAGAGGTGAAGTAATAGATAACGCATTTATTTTGTATTTTCAATTTTAACATTCTTTTTTCATGTATGAGGTGTTTTATAAATTTCAGGTTATACTTATATCAAACGCCCTCAAAAAGAAATGCCAAAAATTTTTATCTACGCCACATCCGGACTGTGTTTTACGAATGACCCAAGTGCTTTTAAATGAAATTAGCACAAGGTTTTCGTGCATTGAGGAGAATAATATTTTTGCTGAAAGCACTATATTAGATCCAAGATTCAAAAAATATGGGTTTGAGAATGAGTACGCTTACAGTAAAGCATGTACAAATATCAAAGCCATGGCCGGGTGAATTCAAATACAAAGCACATGTACATCAGAGCCGCCATCTTCGTCGCCATCCCGTAAGCGTAAACATAGCATATGGAATGAGTTTGATGAGCAAGTGGATATGATAATAAAAAATATTAATCCGACTGCAGGGGGTATTATCGAAGTTGATAAATACCTCGAGGAACCCCTACTGCCAAGGTCCCAAGATCCTGCCAAGTGGTGGTTCGTTAAAAAGGACGCCTATCCTAGGCTTTATAAGTTATTTTTAAAACGGCTTTGTATTGTTGCCACTTCAGTGCCTTCCGAGCGCACTTTCAGTAAAGCAGGCCAGGTCCTTACGGAGAGAAGGAACCGGCTTAGTGGCAACAAAGTCGCGCAAATATTATTTTTACATTCTAATTTATAATTTTATTTGCAAGCTTTTTTATTATATTCTTTAAAATATATTTCTTTATCTTTTTATTTACCTAATTACAAACAATATAATCGTGTATGTATCGTTTCATAGTCAATGTCTTCAATCAGAGTACAGATTGTAACTGTACGGCAATAACGTCAAATGTCATATTTATACTCGTAACTTCAAACGTTTCGTCGGGCTTCAGCACGCCTCGCCCAAATACCAAACCTCGTTAGCCTCACCTCATTTGAAGTGGGACATTGTACTGGCTCAGTACAAAAAATAGGCTACTCTTACAAACTCTACTTTATGTCGTGTCCTACCCAACACTACATGCCGCCCGCGTGCAACGCTGCCACACTTCCAAGGGGTCAAGTTACGTAGTTTAAACAGAGTATTTACTTTTACTGAATTTATTTTAATATTTATTTGGTTTGAAAATTTTACTTTAATAATTTACGGTTTTTAATTTAATATTTAAGTTTACTGCACTTCTACGAACTAGTATTCCTTGTAGTTTCATTTATTGCGTATACGTGGATTCCTTACTGTATATAGATATATAACTCTTTATTGCATTTATAAAAAGTGGTTACAATTACGGAAAACTTATCAACTACAAACGGTGGTCATGTCGCTTTATCGATTTCTACTTGACAAACCGAACGTAAAAGGGACATTGTAATATATTTTGACGGATACGAGTAGGTGCAACGTGCACTATAGAATAAAACTGAGGACAAAAACGTATTATTAATTAAGATTTATATAAAAATATGAATTATATAATATTTAATGAACACATAATATATATATATATATATATATATATGCAGAGAAAATTAAACAAAAGATGAATTATTAATAAAAAGAGGAAATACGAGCATATAATTTATTATTATGACTGGAAATGCAAATAATACTCCTTTAGCTGTTTTTTAAAAGTCTGTAAAGATTGCGCTTGCTGGATTTTAAGTGGTAATGAATTTCAGAGTCGGGTTGCTTGTGAAGTAAATGACTTATTATAAAAAGAAGTTACGCTACAAGGGGTATTATTTATATATTATTAGTAGCCGAGCTATACACTGAACGCAAACTACGGTCATGAAATTCATGTCGATAGTGAAATTGTTCCTTAAGTTACCTTGGGATTTCGAAACAACACAGAACACAAAAAAGTAAAGAAAATTGGCCTCTAAAAAGCTTGGCGTGCTCAGCAGAGCGGGACAGTATTTCATGCCGGCACACCGCCTGCAACTTTACAAGGCGCAGGTTCGGCCTCACATGGAATACTGTTCCCATCTCTGGGCAGGGGCTCCCCAGTGCCAGCTCCTTCCACTTGACCGCATCCAGCGCAGAGCGGCTCGAATCGTCGACGACCGAGCCCTTTCCGATCGGCTCGATTCATTGGCACTGCGAAGAGATGTTGCATCTCTTTGCATTTTCTTTCGCATCTACCATGGGGAGTGCTCTGAGGAATTGTTCGGATTAATCCCAGCCGCCAAATTTCATGAACGCACATCGCGGCAGAACTCCCGATACCATCCACACCATCTGGATGATTGGCGGTCCACCACTGTGCGATTTAGAAGATGTTTTCTTCCTCGCACGACTTCCTTGTGGAATCGATTACCATCAGCGATTTTTCCGGACCGATATGACTTAGGGACCTTCAAGAAAAGAGCCTACTCCTTTTTAAAAGGCCGGCAACGCATCTGCAATTCCCCTGGTGTTGCGGTTGTTCATGGGCGGCGGTAGTCACTTACCATCAGGTGAGCCGCATGCTCGTTTGCCCCCTCTCCTATAAAAAAAAAAAAAAAGTAAATGAACATTCCGGCGAAGGTGAATTGGGAGCCACTTGAGTTGATTTCGAAATTGGGGTACATGGTCATATTTGCGTAAACCAAATATGAATGGAAAGATTTTGAAGATGCTTAAGCTTGTTTAATATATATTGACAAATTGAAGAAACACTTCCTTTTTTGAAGTCGTAAGTAGTAGATGTCGTAGATAGTCGTACTGATAGTAAGTAGATGTCGTAGCCCATAGACATAATTTAGCTATTTGTATAAGAGGGATCTCCCCGCCTACCGCGGATCTGTTAACACGTACAGTCTGTGTCTCTCTAAACAAAAATCCAATTAAATAGTTCGTATGGCGTTTTTCTTATTAAAATTAGTGTCAGTACAAAGTTAAAGTTCACTCCCATAAACTAACGGTGAAAAAACAACGAAAAGTGCTAAATCAAATGTGTGCATTCGCTTACAAATTTAAATAAAAATCAAGTGTCCGTTGGTTAAAGACTTAAAGTGAATTGAGTGTCGAGCGATTAGCTGCGAGCGTTGATGACTCATGTTCTTGTTGCTAACTAGTGACGAATTACGGACTTAGAAGCAAGCAATCACATTTTTCACTCATAATTTACAAGTTTCCGTAGCTTAGTGTGCAACGACATGGACTGAACTCCGTCGATCTAGATTTCAAATCTCAGTGTAGTTTTCTTTTTTTTAGTATTATCTGGATTGTATTTTTGTTTTTTATTCTTATTTTTTCATAATGAAATTTCATTAAAATTTTCCTAAGATTCTGGGAGGGAATTTGAAGGAAACAATTAATACGAACTGTATAAAGAGCAGAATTATAGTTCAATAAAGGATAAATAAAAACTGTTAAAATGAATAACTCTCAAAATTGTGCCGGCTGCAAAAACTCTATAACGAATAAAGACTCTCTAAAATGTATGCAATGCAATGGGAAAAACGATATGGATTGTGCAAACATCAGCCCAAAGAACTTTCGTCAAATGGAGCGAAAAAAAGAACATTGGAAATGCCCGGAATGTCTAAGCAAACTACCAAAAGAAGGCAATTCTAACACCCCTGTGCGAGGCACCACGGCAATCTTAGAGGGAGGAACAAACCTACGAACGGATTCATCCACCGTGTCGCATGTCCTCAAGAATGGCAATCCCAATGTAACGGTCCGATCCAAGGTGTTAAATCCACCCCCACTCAGTGAGACGAGCAACCTAGTACAAGGCGTTGAGAACATCACCATCAACTCTTACGCGGATATTCTGAATGACTTAAAAATCTACATGAAAAATTTATTACACGATGAAATGGACAGAGTACAAAAAGCTATCGGTAGTCTTACAAATACCATTAAAGACCAAAACAGCCGGATTGAGCAACTGGAAGCTAGAGTTTCGATATTGTAGAGTAAGTCGGAAACCAAGCCAGCCCAAACCCATCCAATTGAGCGCATCGTAATGCAGCTACAGGCTGATATTGCGGAAAGAGACCAAACCTTACTCTCTAACGACCTAGAAATAGCTGGCTGTCCAGAAACAGCCAATGAAAACTGCACACATATTATTCTGACAGTCGCTAAGAAAATTGGTATGGAGTTGGACGATAAAGACATCGTATCAGCAGAACGCGTGGGCCCACTTCGTCCGGCGAAACAGGACAGCACAACACCGCGCCCAAGACCTATAGCCGTGCGCCTCGCACGCCGTGATACACGGAACGGCCTGCTTCAAGCTGCGCGCTCCAGACGTAATCTCAACAGCGATGGCCTCGAATTACCTGGATCCACCAAACTGTTATATCTTAATGAACGCTTGACAAGATTTAACCGTCAACTCTTTCAAAAAGCACGCTCCCTTGCCCGCGAAGTACAATTCAAATATGTATGGGTACGGGAGGGAAAGATATTTGTGCGCAAGGAACAAGAGAAACCGCGGATTCGGATTAGAAATGAAATGGACTTATCAAAGGTTTTTAACTATAATGACAGCTGATATCTTTCCATCCCATACACACCAACTAACTATTTTTTTATGTGTTTTGATATCATGCAAAGAATGTATTTAATCCTTTCTTTTAAATTTACTTCCTGAAATCTGTAATTGAGACTATCTCTACACAAACAACTAGCACATCAATCACACTTTATGACACCACCGTACACAACCCACTTATTCATCACAAGTTTTATATTACTTTAAATATTTATTATTATCATATCAAGTTGTTATATCCTAAATGGTTAGTATTAAAAATAAATATCTAAGAATAGGTCTATTAAACGCCAGATCTCTGAATACTGGACAGGATGAATTTTTTGTGGCTGTCCGTAATCACACTCCTGATATATTGGCTATAAATGAAACGTGGTTAAAAGATGGAGAAGGTGAATTTGCGCCTATAATACCAAATTATAAGTTTGTGCATAGAGGTAGGCAACAAAAAAAGGGAGGAGGTGTAGGCTTCTAGATTAAGCAGGAAATAAATATTAAAGTACGGCAACACCCAGCGTCGTCTCTAGAGCAGATGTGGCTAGAAATTCAACTCCCGGGAGCTTCAATGGCCCTTGGCACGGCCTACAGATCTAACAGTGTTGGTGTTACAGAAACATTGTACGCTCTGAGTGACTCCCTGAATTCAATGGCACAATGCGATTACACTTGCATACTTGGCGATTTTAACGTAGATATGACTAACAAACATTGCAATAAAGCAAAAGATATAATGCAATTCTGCTATCAACATAACCTTGAACAACTCGTCAAAGAACCAACGAGAGTCACTGATCAGACTGAAACTATTTTAGATCTCGTCATGACTAACACTCCCTCAAGATGCAAAAACATTAAACTTGTACACAATCGTTGTCTTAGTGATCATGCATAGGTGCTGGTAGATTTGGACATAAGAAAACCAAAATTTTATAAACAAGTAAAACAACAGAGATTACTAAGAAATATTAATTCTGATGCTTTCGCAAGAGATTTGAAACTTATACCCTGGGACTCTATCTATAATCTAGAGAACGTAGACGAAATGGTTCAAACATTCAACGCATATATGGGCCAATTATTTGATGCTCATGCGCCTGTCCGTACGCTGACGATAAGGGACAAACCAAAGCCATGGATTACAGATATGTTGCTATTCATGATGAGTTTACGTGACGATGCGTTAGAAAAAGCCCAGAAGGATAAAAAAGATTGTTCAAATGAATACTACCGAACCCTTAAAAATTTAGTCACAGCAACCCGTAAACGCGAACGAAAAGCTTACTTTAACCATTGTATAAACAACAACTTAAAAGATCCGAAGTCGCTGTGGCGTAATATAAAAAATGCTGCACAAATTAAGACTACTCATTTAAATACAATTCCACACCATCTCAATGACCCGAATATTATTAATGACTATTTTCTAGACTTGCCGCCATGTGACAAACCAGAACTCAAACAAGGTTATAAAGTATGTAACGGATGCTCACACGATAACCTATTCGACCTAAACCCGAGAAATGAAATAGAAATCAGTAAGATTATCAATAAAATAAAAACAAAAGCCGCAGGGCACGATAACTTAAATATTGAAATGCTCAAATTAACTTTACCTGTAACTCTCCCTATTATTACGTTTATAGTAAACAAGTCGATCGACACCAGTACATTCCCAACGCAATGGAAAAGAGCTCTAGTCAAGCCCATTCCTAAAAAGAACACAGCAAGTGAAATAAAAGATCTGCGCCCTATCTCGATCCTCCCGGTGTTGTCTAAAGTCTTAGAAAAGATTATACTTTCTCAAATGCTAAATTACTTAGAAACGAATAACCCTTTACCAAAGTTTCAATCAGGGTTCAGAAAAGGGCATGGCACGGAAACTGCCCTCTTAAATGTCACTGACGATCTAACAGAGGCCTCCGATATGGGATTGAGCAGTATTATGGTGCTGTTGGATTACACTCGGGCATTTGACTGTCTACAACCTGAAATCCTCTTAAATAAATTAGAGCACTATGGCTTTTCTAAAGACACATGTAGATGGTTTCAGTCATTCCTATCCAACAGAGAACAAATTGTGGTAACAGATGGATGCAATGGTGGCAAGAAATTCTCCTCTCTACGGAAAATTGTAAGGGGAGTACCCCAAGGCTCCTTACTCAGTCCCATTTTGTTCTCTCTGTACACAGCAGACCTGCCTAAGCAAATAAAACATTGTAAATACCATTTATACGCAGAAGATACCCACCTGTATTATTCTTTTGACCCCAGGGATGTTAAAGAGGCAATAAACATAATAAATGAGGATCTCCATAATATCCAAACCTGGTCCCAAAAAAATTCCCTAGTATTAAACGCAACTAAATCACAAGTACTAGTTTTGGGCACAAAAAAACCAAATAAAACCTATTTTAGACAGCGAGGATACGATTAAAATAGAAGATGAAACCTTGACACAACTAAGATCCGCTCGTAATTTAGGGCTTATACTAGACGGAGAGCAGAAATTTGTAGAACACATCAATAACAAGATAAGAAGTTCGTACTTTAAACTTAAAACATTATACAAAATAAGACCGTATATCAAAGAGGACCTACGCTTTCTCTTGTGTGACTCATTGGTGTTATCACAATTGAGCTACTGCAGCTCAGTCTTTGGCCCTAAATTGTCAGCTAATACCGAAAGAGCAATACAGAGAGTACAAAATGCATGTGTTCGATACTGTTGTAATGTACCAAGAAGACAATTTATAACCCCATACATAAATAAAAAAGGCATACTCAATATGGGCGCCAGGAGAGAATTACACTATGCTTCGATAGTCCAAAAGGTAATTTGGAACGAAAGCCGTCTCCTTTTGTCTCAAATAGTTATAATGTTCTTTTGTTTTGGCGTGTCTGTAACTGTTTTATTTTTAGGGGCAATAAACAATTATTATTATTATTATTGGGGTATCTATAAAGTTTTCTCGTCTGGTTGGGCAGTATAAATATATAATTGTAAATGAAAATGGTAAACATACATAAATATAAATAAAATAAAATAAATACATAAAAAATACATAAATATATAAAAACCCAACCAGATGGAAGCCCTCGGCAGGGGAGACCAAACGGCCGAGGGTTAGGGGGAAAGGGAAAGAAACCGGCGGACGATGCGGGCGGTATCGAGGAGCACCGCCTTCTGCATTTGAGCTTGGAGCGGTCCGTCACGGAGTCCCAGTCGCCTCAGATGACCCGAGAGGCTAACTGGGATTAACCCGTTCGCAGAAACGACCACAGGAATAATTTCGGCCGGCAGACCACCCCACATGTCGGTCACCTCGTGATCCAGGTCCAGATATTTTGTCAGCTTATCTGTTTCGGCTTTCACGAGGTTCTCGTCATAGGGAATGGTAATGTCGACCAAAAATATCCTTGACTGTGCCCGGTCCATCAGCACAATATCAGGCTTATTCGCAAGAACAGTCCTGTCTGTGATGATGGCCCGGTCCCAGTAGAGCCTGGCGCGGTCATTTTCGAGCACGGCTTCCGGCAAGTACTTATAATATGGCAGTTTCCGATCCACGAGACCGTATTTCAGAGCGAGCTCCTGGTGTGGAATCCTGGCTACAAGGTTGTGTCTGTGCAAATACTCAGAGTTAGAAAGCGCCGAACAACCGGAGATGACATGCCTAAGTGACTCACCGGGATGGCGACAAGCTCGACAGATGTCGACGGTGCCATCCTTTAGGATGTATCTCCGATAATTGTTGGTCTTAATAACCTGACCCTGTATTGCACAGACAAAACCCTCAGTTTCCCCAAAGAGGTCACTGAAACGTAGCCAGTGGAGGGAGGCGACTGTGTCTACGAAAGGCTCATGAAGGGCCTTGTAGAACCTCCCGTGGAGCTCCTTCTCCTTCCATACGGTCTCCCGGTCGGAAATGCTCTGTACTGCCGGGTCTTGCCATTGCTCGTTGGCTAAGGATAGAGGGGTTAGCCCTTTATCACAAGAAATAACGTCCCTATAGTATGGATCATCCGCTCTCGTCAGAAAGTAATTACGGAGGCTGCACATTTCGCGATTATGCATAGTAAGCGCGCTTAAAAAGCCGCGTCCAGCACGCTTTCGCGGCAAGTACAGCCTCATTACTGACGATCTCGGATGATGCATCCTGTGGGACGTCATATAGTGCGGACTTTTCTGTCCAGAGCGTTCAGTTCGGTCTGAGTCCACCTGAGTATGCCAAAGGTATACATGAGAACAGGCATGATCCAACCGTTATATGCGTGCGTCTTATTCACACCGGACAAAAGGCTTTTAAGCACTTTGGTCAAGCGTGCATAAAACACATCGCAAACTGACCGTTTCATACCTGACTCATCTACACCGATGTTCTGTGACATACCCAGGTATCGGTATGTTTCAGCCT